TATATTTTATTCCTATGTAAATCAAGAAGTTTATTTTTCCATTTTTTAAATTTTTAAATTTTATTGCATTATTTCACAGCAATCCAATGATACTAATATTAACATAATCTCCATTTTGCGTATGGGGAAAATGTGAATTATAGTGTTAAGATAATATGTCTTTAAATCTAAAGACAATAAGAGCCAGGACAGTAGGGTCTGTATGTTTAGGTGTCATGCTGTTCTAAACTGCTTCATGTGTGTGTTTGGTCTTCATGACAGTATATGGGGTAGGCAGAAGTATATGTCTCTATTATGTAGAAAAGGACATTACAAGAATTCTTAAAAAATCAACTTTTCCAGAGATATCCAGTCAATGTAAAGTAGAGATGCTTCTGAGATCCTCATGGTTTAAACATACTAACATGAACATCTATCCATTCCATAGCAATTCCCTGTTGCATTTCAACTAATAAAAAGGAAAGGAAATTATGCCTGAGAAAGCACTTTGAAAAAAACATGAAGTGGCTAGAAATAAGAGGCATTTTTGTTGTGATGATTTTTATCATTAATGGTAGTGCTCACAATGTCGTAGAGAGGAAGCCTTCACAGAGAACTGGTTCGTTTCACAACCTGTGTCTACCTGGCACCATCTTGGGAGTGGGATACAGTAGTTGTAACCCACATGGAAAGGGCTGTGCCTAGAAGATGGAACACAAAAGGTGTGAAAATGTTCAGCTTCAGGTAAGAAGTCTCAGATATGAAAATAAGGCTCAGGCCTTACAGGGTACAGTGACTTCTCAAAACAGCAGATTCTGCTCTATTAAAGGGGGAAGTGTGTTCTGTTGAGGTTTGGGTGACTCTCCAGCATTGCAGGGAAATATCATTGAGGGGACTGAGGTTGCAGAGGGTCAAGTAGATGGTGGCTAGCTGCTACCTTTGGTGTTATGAAGAGTCATCATGACACATCTGTTGACAGGTTTGCCCGATGACTACCAACCAGGCCAACAGCCCTGGCCCTGTTCTCTGCCAACCTGTTTTGACTCAGAACTTGTGTAACCTGTTTTACATATGAACCTGCACTCCTACTTTGTACAGACATTACCCATTTCATTCCTGGCCCCTGTTGTTGGTTCAGCCACTCCCTTTCAGTCTCTGGCTATTGTGACATTAATTTTGTCTTAGTCTCCCTATTGACTTTAATATGTCCTAAATTCTGTCTTTGTTCACTGTGCAGATCCCCAGGAATTCTCTGAAAACCAGGTGCTCTGACCTTCCCAGATAAGGAATATTCTGGCCATATTCACTTGTGTCTTCAGAGCAACAACCATTAAGAGCCTAGGACTTGGATTCAAATAACTCTCGGTTCAAGACCCAGATTTTTTACTAATTCTTAAATTCATTCTAAATAACAGTATCATGTCTTTGTCACCGAAATGCTCAAATAGTTTTACTTTTTTTTTTTTTTACTACCCTTCCTGGAGTCTTTGCAAAGATTATAAAGACACACTGTCACTATGGAGACACCTGACTGCTCAATCTCTGCATAAAGCAGGGTTTTAGTGGAATTGAAAACTGGTTCAATGTGAAAAGTTTTCTCCTTTCTAGAAGCTGCCAATGTTCCCTCACTGAACATGTAGTGCATAATCAAATTAAAAATATTTAATTGATATGGCTGGTGACAGTGATGCTAATATACCATGAAATTCCTATTGAAAATAAATTATTAATTAAAAAGGAATTTTCCTAAGATATAGCTATAGAAATAAAATCCTATTTGACTGAGAAATTTAATGTTGGGACTTAATTTTAATTTGACTCCATTTGGTTTAAGGTAAATAGTGTGAGCAAATTCTGCCAATGAGATGTGTGAGAGAGAAGACTTGATACAAATCTGTTTGAATGAAAGATGTACAGCTGGTTAGGAAGCAGAGACAATTACCTTTGTAAAAGCAGGCAGACTCAGATTATGGGAAAGTCTTGAAAGACAGGTGGAAAAGTTAGGATTTGATGGAATAAAAGCATAGAGTCATTGAATTGTTCTAAATTCTTTCAATGTGTTATCTCACAGAAATCCAATAACAGTGATACTAACATTATCTACATTTTGCAGATGGGAACAATGTGGACCAGTACTACATCATGGTGAAAACTGTTCCAGGGAATTAGAGGAAGTTAGATAAGTAGATTAGAGATATTAGAGAGGAAGCAGAAAGTCTTTATAAAGAAAGAAATATTTGTGTAGTAGAAGTAGTACAATGGACTACTGGAGATATAATTCTGATCCGATTTTATTTATGAACTCAGATAATGTGGGTAAGTTACCAAACTCAATGATTGCATAGGCTTCCATCTAAAATTAAAGGGTTGGCTTACATGAGTATTTTCTATAGCATATTGATAGTAAGAAATACAATTTTAGATGAAAATAAACTTAAAATTATAACAGGTACATATGACTTTTGTAGAGTTACCTTCCATGCATCAAGTTATAATGGTAATGCATAGCTGAGTGTTATAATTTTTTAAAAGAATCTTGACTTTTGTTTCTCATCTCTAGAAAGTAACAGGCTCTGAAATTATCATCCCACCATCCCACCAAACCAGACATTGAAATCAAGATAATAAATAAGAATTTTCAGACATTGGACATTAGGCAGCATAAGACTGTAATCCCTGAGAGGGAGATAAGCAATAATGGGTGCAATGAAAACCTTGATTTTCTCCCTTGAGGGCAGTAGAGGTAGGAGAACCCAAAGAGCTCAGTGCTCTGGTTGATTTAAGGAAGATGAGAAGAACAAAATTTGTGGGTCAGAATGCTAGTTGGAAAAAAAAAATGCAGCAATGCAATGCAGGAAAAGAGCTCCAGAAACATGGAGAGGCATGCCCTTCAGCCTTGGGCTAAATTATAACTTGCACCTTCAAAGACAAAATACACAAGGGTGGATGAAATAAAACTTTCAGAGAAAGAATGTTACTAGGGAACTGTACACAGACCAATTCTTAGCATGTGAATAGTGCACATAGGGACAAATTTGAGTTCCTATGGAGCCAACATAGACATTTTTGCTTACAAGGGGCACAGAATAGAGTCTTCTGATGGTGCATTTTCAGAGTAGGGCAAAAGGTCCTCAGAGCAGATGGAATTCTAGACTTGCCAGTGAGGAGATAACAACAAGTCTCAGAATGATTAAACCTGTCTGCAAATAGATTGCTTGACTGTCCAACAATTTCCAATCCTCTAAAAAGGAATAAAAGAAAATCTAGCACTCAGCAAAGCAAAATTCAATGTCCAATAAAAAATTATTAAGCATGCAACGAAGGACCATAACAAGAAGAAAAATAAAACTGTAGAAAAGATTTTATAAACAAGATAATTGCATAAGCAGAAATCATGTTAAAATAATGCTGAAATATGGCTGCTATACTCAAAGAGTTAAAGAAAAACATGAAAATATGGAGGAGAAAAACAGAAGATATAAAACTCACCCAAATGGAATTTCTAGAGATGACAAACACAGAATCTAAAATACAAAAACCATCATATGTAATTACAGCAGTTTAGGCACTGCAAAAGAAAAAAATCTACAAATGCAAAGATATGGGAACAGAAACAATCTAAAATGAAGCACCCAGAGGAAAAACACAGGAGAAAACACTCAACTTCAGTGACTTGTGGGTCAGCATACAGTGGTCTAAAATTCATGTAATTAGAGTCAGAAAAAAGTGGGGATATAAAAATTATTTCAGGAAATAATGTCCTCCAAATTTTCAAATTTGATGAAAACTATAAATCCAAAGGTCCAAGAACCTCAGAAAACCCTAAGCAGTGTCAAAAACCACATCAAGGCTCACCCAAATCAAATTGCTGAAAATCATTGATAAACAGAAACTATTAAAAGCAGACAATGAAAAGATGCATTACATACAAAGAAGCAAAGAGAGAAACCACAGATGTATCAGAAATGATGCATGTCAGAAGACAATTAACATTTTAAAAGCAATGAAAAAAAAACTATGAAACATGCCATTCTAAAATTCTATTCTTTTAAAAACATTCTTTTAGAAATGAAGACAAAAAAAGAAAGAAGGACTTTTTCAGATAAACACTGAGTGTCTCAATCACCAGAAGATCTGTAAAACAAAAGTTCAAGGAAGTTCATCTATCTGGCCAAAGGGAAATAAATGAAATAATGAATAGGATCTATCAAATTTTCAACCATATAGACAGAATAATAACAATATATACAGTATCATAGTATGATATGGATTATAAATGTGATATGTTGTATGTAACAAATTATAGAAGATCACATAATAACATTATGTAGAATAGACATAATATAATGAATTAAATATTATATTTATTATATAAAATAATTATTATATATTAACAATAATAATTAGTAGTAATAGTTTACTATTTCTGATAACAAATTACCACAAATTTAGCAATTTAGAACCAAATATTTATTATTTCACTGTTTCTGTGGGTGAGGAGTCTAGGCATAGTATAGCTGGGTTGTCTGCCCAGGATTTCACAGGCTGCAGTCAAGGTTGGTCTCTCAGTAGGAGGCTTTGTTATGCAAGAACAGGCTTCCAAGTAGCAACAGGTTTTAGGCACAATCAATTTCTTGTGGCCATATGACTATGGGTCCGTTTTTTTTGCTAGTTATCCAATGGAGGTCACTCTCAGGTCTTAGAAGCCACATGCTGTTCTTGCAATGTGGTTTTCTCAACATATCTCTTCATTTCATCAAACCAACAGGAAGATTCTCTTATTTGGGTCTGCTTAGATAGATTCACATACAATGCAATGTAATTATGGAATTACATCCCATCAACCTGTGTTACTTGGTATAACCTAACCAAAGGTGTGACATCTTTGCCAATTCTCTTGGCTAGATGGAAGACTCAGGTCCCATTCACACTCAAAGGGAGGGGACATCAGATGGTGAAAGTCACTGGGAAATCACCTTAGGGTCAGCACACCTCATTACTATTACAAGAAATCCATGTGTTTAGAGAAAAAAGTGTGTTTTGTTTTGTAAACATTCCTCCATCAATTTAATTAGGTCTTGGTAAATTTCCTGGGGAGCATCCTGTCCAAGATAAAAATCCATATGATTGTAGTATGGGATCGCCTTGTAATAAATGAGGTTGGCAATTTTAGGTAGCAAATTTTCAACGTCCTTGGGATCAGCCAAAATATCCTGTCCACCACTCCAAATGGCTGTTGGAACTTCCATCTCAGTAACGTTGTATAAAGGAGGTATGAGCTAAGTATGATGAAAGAGATGGAGAGAGGACAATAAAAAAAAAAAAACTACATTATAAAAGTGACATTAATTCTCAGTTGTGAAGCAAGTTTTTCAAATGCTCAAAGTGTGCAGCTTGGATACATTTGATTCGTAAACATTAAAATGTTAAAAACATTTGAAAATACTTTTGTCCAATGATATGCATTGTGAATACAAAATAAACAAAAGCTATTACAATCCTGACTTGCAGTTTTGGGAAAATAGGAAAGAATCCAAGAGGGAGACTTGTATTTTTGTGGGGAATCGTCTTTCTAGTTGTACTTTATCAGAAAGCACATCTTTACAAACAAAATGTTGAATAGGACAAATATCCCCTTGTCATATGCAGAAATCTGGGCTCAGTGGCATTATTGACACTTATATACCAGCAGTTTCTTTGGGGAGTACTGATAACCAATACATAAAAATAATGAAATATGAGTTTTAGAAGAAGCCAGTCTGCTATAGAGAAATAGCATTAAACTCGCTCCAGCAAGTTTTTCCTTACCTTCTTTCCTGTGCTGATTCAACACAATCCCAACCAAGTGACTAGGTATGGTCAATTAATCTCTCATTCTTCTGGCCACAGAGATTGAATAATAATAACTTGGCATATCACTAAATCTGTATCATAGGTTAGTCTGGAACTTTCTGCCAGAGCTACTGAGAAAATATTAGATTTTTTCTGTGGAATTCCGATTGCTAGAACTATATAAGCTAAATATATCCAGTAACCCTCTTAGCACTTTGTTGGAAAGAGTCTAACAATAGAAATAAGCATCTCAGATGAAAGTTGAAAAAGGGAGAAGGAAAGATAGAGAGGAAGAGCAAGAGAGAGACGGAGATGTGGTGGTGTTTAAGTTCCGGGATATTGCCACTTAACTAGTACTTATGAGTTCAGTATGTAGTACTATTTTTAAAAATATGAAATAGAGTTGGTTTTGCTAATTACAACTGAATAATTGTCTATCAAAAATAATTTCTGATTATTATATGCTGTGTACTGAATTTGTATCCTCTCCAGATTTATATGTTGAAGTCCTAACCCCCAATGTGAAGGTGTGTGGAGATATGGAGACAGGGCTTTTAGGAGGTAATTAAGGTTAAATTAGATTATAAGTGTGCATTCCTAACTCCATAGAATTGAAAATCTTATAAAAAGGTAAGGATTCTCTCTCTCCCTTTCTCTCTCTCCAGGAGCAAGAACAAAGGAGCACACCTGCACCATGTGAGCACACATTAGAAAGGTGCCATCTGCAAGCTAGGAAAAGAGCCTCACTAGAACCCAGCCATGCTCGTACCCTGATCTCAGACATCCAGCTTTCCAAACCGACAGAAAATAAATTCCTATCATTTGAGTCACCCAGTGTATGGCATTTTGTTATGGCAGCCCTAATTGAATAGTACACTAATTTGTGACAGACTAGGAGGAAGAGGTAAGAAGCACAAAGATATAGATTGTAAGGAAACTGTGACCCTGGCCTGGAAGAGGTTTCTCAGAACAACAGAAATGTGCCTGGAGATGACTGTACCTCAGGTTCTCTTAGGAGAGAAAAATTCAGGCAGAGCCCTCTGATATAGTAGTCACATCAGGTATTTCCATCAGTTAATGGATTGCTACCTGAGTCTTTGCATTACTACATATTGTAAGCATATCCTGCTTCCCTATAGTTTAGGAGCTTTAAGAAAAAGTGGTAGATGAGAATGTGTAGTTTTGAGAAGGCAACACAAAGGTCAGAGAAAGAAGTGAGTACATAGCCATGACCAGGGGTGTGGACAGGGAAGATGGGTTCCAGAAAGCTCGGCAAAGGGCCCTAAATGCAAAGTGCACTGATGAATGAAGAGACCTGCTTGTTCTGACTGCTGTTTTCTTGACAGCAGACTATAAAGCATAAATATTTAAATGCAAAGATGTAGAATGATGAAGAATAGAAAGACAAAGCATTACAGAGGCAGCAATAAACACCAGCAAGCTTTGAGCCACAGAGTGGGTCTGAGAGTCCCTGAAATCAGAACTCCTTCACTTCAATGATTTAATTACTTTGCTAAGGATGAAAGTGGATGTCCAGAAAATGTCAAAGCCAAAATGAACATCAAAATTTGGATTTAAGTTATATGTGGTATATCTTGGCCTGGAATATATTAAAATTTATTTTTAAGTAGATAATTAAAAATTGTATGTAACTATCAAAAATGAGTGACTTTCTTAGGAACAAAGGATTACTGGTGATTACATTGGTAATTGCACCTGCCAAATTTATGCTGCTATTAATTACAGATGTGATTAAGGTTATTGCCTTTTAAACATGTATGTAGTTCATCTTCTGCTTTGAGTTTTCCTTCCCCCACCCAAAGTTCCAAGCTAAAGACCTACATTGGAACCTGAGTCACCATGCAGGCATAATTGTGATGGGATCTGCAAACATAATGATAAAGCTAGTACATGCTACCCAGCTTTCATCCAAGCAGGTATCAGAGTCTTATAAGGTAAGGTCATTATCTGAAAGGCTTTTCCTCAAGAAATCATAAACTCTTGCTAGGACAAAGAATTCATGAATTACAAGAGAAAATAGCACTCTGACATAATATATGTGAGGCATCCCAACCCGAGTCTCATGCACTTCTAAATATAGCAGCTTAGGAGAAAAATTAGATTTCTCACACTAGTTGAAATTATAAATATTCACTATTATTATTTTTATGGTGGCACTGAACATTGCTGTTTTAAAAATTTCCAAGCTTATACATCACAAATTTGAAAAACATGCATACTTTGTTCAGTTTGAGTTTAGTCTATAATTAAGAAGCCAAAATAATTAGTGGATTCCCTTACATATACTGGGGACAAATAGCAATAACAATAACATATACTTTTTTTTTACATAGAATATTTTGTTTTAATATGGAATATTTGCTCTAAAAGTTTCTGTAGGTTATTTCAAGAAATATTTTTATACACAATTCTCTGGCAGATAGTGCCTTCCTAAGGGTGATGATTTTGGTTGATATCTTTAATGATGCATGTTATGCAGGTTTTTAAAAGTTGTTAGTAAATAGCATATCAAAAACTATTAGATCAAAGTTTATTCTATTAGAAATGGAATAGAAGTTAGAAAATATGCTTTAAAAACAAAGATTGTGCTTTTGTTTTTTTGTTTTTAATACCAGGGATTTAACTCAGGACACTGAGTTAACACTTAACAAGTAAGCGACATCCCAAGACCTTTTTATTTAGAGACAGGGTTTCACTGAGTTGCTAAGGGTCTTGATAAGTTGCTGAGGCTGGCCTTGAACTCACAATTGTCCTGCTCCAGCCTCCCAAGCGGTTGGGATTACAGGCATGTGCCACCACTGGGCCCAGCAAGATTGTGTATTTTTAATTTACTCTTCAAAATTTAGAGTTAATTAAATGTTGAGAAGTTTTTATATCTTGAGGCAGAATAATTGTAGTAGAAGAAAAATGGACTTTTAGATCTAGGAATCCCTTGGTGGGTTGTCATATTCTGGTTATTAATTGGCTAAATACTTTTGGCAATTTATCTAACCTCTTCAAGCCTCTGGAAAAAATGACAATATTATTACCTTACAAGATCATTGTGAGAATGAGAAATAATGACATGACACACTGACAAGACCCAATAAACAGCATGTGATAACAACAATGAGCAATATGAATGGTACTGAATGGGAAGTAGTAGGTACTTAGGAAGTGGATAATATTTTTATTAATTCATTTTCATGTCACTGACTATGATTATTATTACTATACCCGATGGAAGTGCATCATGTTCTGATCAGGTTGTCCCCAGTCAAAGGCTTGAAACTGACCAGAATTAACTGCCTAAGATAAAACAAAAATAATAAACACATTGAAATGATATAAGAGAACAGTGCACATTTAAAGTTAGCAAGCAAAAGATTTAAAAAGAAGACTGATATTCCAACTCTTTAGCCAAATTTCAATAAGTCAGTCAAATAATAAAAAATAAATACAAATTCACAGAACTTACACAAACACTTCCTATCTTGCATTTTTCCAGTGACAATTTTCAGACAGCAATGCCTTTAAATGTTACAATATTGCACATCAAAACATTTTTAAAGGTTGTCAGAGATGTTAATATCTTGGCTTCAGGAATATATTTATATGTATATATATATATATATGATTTGATTTTGATATGAGGAGTCTTCCAAGAGATTCCAAACAATACAGGAATATTCAGTGATGAAATCATTAGATTATGAGAGCTGTAACTAATCTGTCCAACCTGAGAAGTTTAAATGAACTTACTAGGTGGTAACTGTGGTTAAAGGAGGTAAGTCACTAGGAGTGTGCTCTGAAGGGATTCATCTTCCCTGCAGCCCCTTCTCATCTCTCCCTCTTTCTGCTTTCTGGCCACTATGAGTGGATCAGTGCTCCTCCACCATACCCTTCCATCATGATGTTCTATTTGATCTTGAACCTAGAGCAATGGAATTAACTGACCATGGACTGAATCTCCCCAAATTGTGAGCCCCCAAATAAACTTTTCTTTCTTTAAATTGTTCTCATTGAGTATTTTGGTCACAGTGACCAAAAAGAAAACTAACACAAAAATTGGTACCAGAAGTAGGGATGTTGCTGTGACTAACCTGACCATGTGGTTCTAAACAATTCCAAGCCATTGGAATTGGCTTGTAGGAGGAGTTTGGAAAGGTTTGGAGATGAATGCTAGAGAAACTTTAGGATATCATAAATGGAGGTTAATAGGTGATTCTGGTGGAAGCCCAGAAAACCAGAATGCAGATTGTACTATGCGCATGAGGTTTCAGAGGGAAACAAGGATTACATTGGGACTATATTGGGATTATATACTGGACTAGAGGCCACTCATGTTACCTTCTGAAAAAGAACTTGTCTACATTTGGCCTTTGTCCTCAGACTTTGCATGAATCTGGATTTAAAGGTAATGGACTAATGAATCTGGTGGAAGAAATTTCAGGACAGAACAGCATTTAGGCCATGTCATGGATATTTCTGGCAGCATTAAGCCAAGTTTACTGTGAGAATAAGGATCAGAAAACAGAGAAGGATTATTTTAAAAACTTGCACTTTGGCCAGAAAAGTGCATGTAAAACCAGGACCGTGGAAGTCATGGTTATTAACGATATTATAGTCACTAAAGAGATGCTAAATACTTTGACAGAGGCACTAAGAAAGAGGGCTTGAATGCATCTCAGGAATTGAAAAGACCACACTAATTCAGGCTCAAGGGTATAGAAATAAAAATTACTTTCAGAAGCAGTCACGAAGGCACTCTTCTCACACAGGGAGCCTAAGAAGTTGTTTCATCATATTCAACCACCCAGCTAGCCAGAGGACATTGAAGTAATAGTCCAAGGGGACTTAATTACTGCTTCAGTGGTAGCAGACCTTGGCTTCATTCACATAGTGCTGGTTCTGCAGTAATTCAGGAAGCTGAACTTAGGTGATCAAGGAGACTTCCACTGAGATTTCAAGGGAAGGCCTAGGAGGCCAGGTAAAGTGTATCAGGGTTTACGTCCTCATGGGCTTTCCCTGAGAAGACAATGCACTAAGCTCTGTAGGTGAAGCCAAAGATGGAATGGAAATCCCAGGAATTAAAAGATGCCTGTAACATGAACGGACTGCTAAGGAAAGCTGCTAGCTGCAGAGAGGGGTCACGTGGGCTGCACTTGGCACGGGGGAAAGGATGAAAAGGAGCAAATCTTCCCAATCCCTTTGGACAGACTATCTCAGTGGTATATGCCCCTGATACCATGGATAGCACGACAGGATTTGTTGGACCAACTGGTTTGGGCTGTGTTTTAGTCCCAGCCCTTCTTCCTATGCCTCATTCCTCCCTTTTGGAATGTGAATGTTTATCCTGTGCCATTGTATATTGAACATATGTAACTTGCTTTTGATCATTATAGGGGCTCAGAGTCAAGAGTTTGCCTTGAGTCTCAAATGAGACTTAGACTTAGGGGAAATTCTGGCATTGTTAAGACTATAGGGAGTCTTGGAGAAGTACTAAATGCACAGAATGCATTTAATACAATATTTGAAATCTAAATCCCAAATGCAAAAAAAAAAAAAATAGTCATGTGGAGTGTCTCAAACACTCAGGGCCTAGCTAATTTGATGAAAAATTTTAAGGATAGGGAATGTGGTCTTAAGAGCTTAGACCACTTGATGAAGATAATAAGGTATAAATGAACACAATGCATTTAGCATTGTGGGATGGACATCAACTTTTGGGGGCCATGGGTAGAATGTCATGATTTGTATATTAGGTGTTCACCAAAAGATCCTATATTAATCCAAGAATATTCAGGAGTTAAATGATTAGATTATGAGAGTCATAACCTAATCTGACCATCCTAGTTTAAATGGACTAATTGGGTAGTAACTGTATGCAGGTAAGTTGTGGCTGGAGGATGTTGGTCACTGGGGATGTACCCTGGAAGTGTTCATCTTCCCTAAGTACCCTTTCCCTCTCTTTCTGCTTCCTTGCTGCCTAGATCTGAATAGCTTTCTTCCACCATATGCAGTGGCCATGATGCTTAGCCTCACCTTGGGTTCAGAGCAATGAAATCAGCAGATCATAAAAAGACCTCTGAAATTGTGAGCCCCATATAAACTTTTTCTCTTCTAAATTGGCCTGTTTGGGTATTTTGGTGGCAGCAGTATAAAACACAATATACATATATATATTTTTAAATGGCACTGGCTATACATTTCCAGCATTAAAAAATTCTATAATTGTTAATAAACAACTTTGCACCTTATTATATTCATCAAGTGGTCTAAGCTATTAAGACCACATTCCCCATCCTTAAAAAATTTTGTCCAATATAGCCATGGGATAAGTGTTTGAGACACTGTGCATAATAACTATTTATGCATTTTGGTGTTTAGATTTCAAATAGAATAGAAATATCCATGCATTCATTACTTCCTTTTTCTATTGTTTGTCACCCATGTTGGATTGAGGAAGCAGATAATCTTCACATATGTTTACCTCAAGCACTTCATTAAATGATCCTCAGACTACACTAACAGTTTTTTCTTAGCTTGAATTTTATATTTTCCCTCCTCATTGATTTAATCCTGATTTTTGGTTCAAACTTATGCCCCTCATAGCTTGTATTGATGCAGGCAGCAATTTGCTACTATTGAATTCTGCAATATTTCAGTAAGGAGAGGTAACAGAATGTACTATTTAGGACTTGGGCTCTAGCATCAAATGAATCTGGTTTGTATTCATGTTTAATGGATGACTAAATTCATTATCCAGGACAAAATATTTGTGAAATGACAATGATAGTGACATTCTTTTCATAGGACTGTGAGGATTAATAGGGTACTGTATATAAAGCATGTGGCACCTAGTAATGTTTGACAAGTAGCTATTTTTACTAATTTATGCAAGTCATAACTTTACTGAAATTCTTGTGAAGAAACCAGAGCCAAAATTTCTTCATATTTCAGGGTTTTTTAGATGTTGGAATATTTGCATAGACATTATCAGATCTGATAATTCTAAGTCCAAAATATGCCAAAAATCCAAAACTCTCTGTGCACAAGTTTTAGATTAGAGATGCTCAATCTGTGACATCATTATGATCATTACCCTTGCCCTAGCTGTCTACATATTTTTCAACCAAATATTTTATTTCCACCACTATTTATCTCTACCTTAGAAAAAACTTTCTGTCAAAAAGAGTTCTCCTTAAGAGAAGTCAACTGTGAGATGTATAATATATCGAATGACA